TATTATAATATAATATTATTTTTTTATTCATAATTTATATTAAAATATTAAATTTAATATATAAATAATTATGATAAAAAAACTAAATTAGGCAAGAAGTTTGAAAAAAAATTAAAAAAATTCTTAAAGAAGTTCTGAAAAAAAGAGTTTATATTTAATATAAAGAAAAAAAATGTTTCAATATAAGGAAATGTTTAATTATAGTGATTGATTTCTAAAATTAAAAAAAAAACTTTCTTATTAAATTGTTCTCCCAACTACCCGATAGCCAATAGTTAGTTTACTTTTGTTGACAACAACTCCATTTAGTTTTTTTTTTTATTTGATTGTTCCCTCCACTTTTATGAGAACTTAAAAGTCAATTGATCATATCTTTGACAATTCTTCTTGCGTTTTCTACGTTGAATTTCCGGAAAGAAACAATAAGGATGTGTTTGGTCGAAATTTTTTAAAAAACTTTAACAAATTCGAATTACTTAATTTTAATCCTTATCATTTATTAAATATTTTATTTAGATAAATTAATTTTTAATTAGGATTAGACAATTTAATTTTATTATATATGATAATTTTAATTTTTACTTATACTATTTATCATTTTACATTAACAAAATTAACTCTTCTTTAATTTTTAACTAGCTTAATCTTTCTTTTGATGATTTTTTTTATATAATTAATTGAATATTATTTACCCTTTTTTGTTTAACATTTAATCGATAAGTAAATGTAGAACAAGTCAAGTAAGAATGCATACATAGAAGTGAAGAAGAAAATTTTTCTTATGACCATGTTGAAGATCTTATAATGTTAGGTGCCACTCTTATCTCTCTTTTTTTTAATTTATTTATTGTATCTAATTTGTTATGTTTTCCTTTTTTTTTTAAAAAAAAAGGGAAAAGCTTTGAATGCCCTTTCATTTTTGATCTTGTATTTTAACTCATTTAATTTTGTAGTGAGTTCTATTCTTCTAATATCTACAACAAAAAGAAAAAATGTAAAGAACACTCGAAACTTTGGGTGTCTAATACAAAAAAAAAAAACAGATAAGATTCAAAGAAAAAATATTTTCAATAGACACAAAAAATATATTTATAGATTTGGCATCTAATTGAATTATAGAAATAAAAAAATCTCCTTTATAAATTGTAAGAACCCCATAATTTGTTTATAGTCTTTGTTTATAAATTGAATTATAGAAATTAAAAAAAAATCTCCTTTATAGATTTGGCACTTCTTTAGTACTTTATTTCGTCATTGATTGTGAAATTTTATTGCTCTGATAGAAGATGGATAACTATACTAATTTAGTATACTTAAAAGACATTATTGTTACAAAATGGACGATCTAACAAGGATTACATTTTAGTAAATTTAGACTTATTAATCAAGTCATTTATGAAATCAATCCTCCTTTTGACTGGATAAGAATATGTAGACTGGATAAGAATATGTAGAGTTCAACATATTTGAAAACACAAAAAATATTATTTTATTAATATTATTACCAATATATGATATTGAATTATGCGTAATATTACTATACCCTCCCTGTTCATTGAAAGTTGGTTATTTCAACAAGTTTTATTTTTAAAACATATATGCTTAGCTTTAAAAGATGTTGATTCAGGAAGGGTTTAAATTTATTTCCATTTTATCGTTTTGCTCACAAATAGGATCCTCAAAATATTTTTTGGGCATAGCATACTCAAATTAGGATATACTGTGATAATTAATTAATTCTAATAGGTCGAGTTTGCCCAATTAAAAAAAAAAGAAAAAAGAGTGGTCCACAAGTGAAATGGATTGGATCCAAGTAAAGGGTGACGCGACCCATGCATCTTTTGCTAAATGAAGTACAAAAAAAGAGTGCAAGACGCACCTCGAAGCATCCAGATATCGATACACACACGCATGCGTCCACGGTCCACACTTTGTCACAACACCCCAAACCTTCAAACTTCAAATCTCAACTATCCAAAAGTAGTATAAATTACACTAATTAAATTGCTTACAAATGTTATAGTTAATATTTTTATTTTAAAATAAAATAAATTAAAATTATTTAACCAATTGCATTTAAATGCGTTAATTAATCAATGCTCGTGGATCAAGTAGAGTGCGTAAAATATTATAAACTTTCTAGTATCATATTTGATTCTTATGAAAAATGATGCTTAAACTATTAGATTTTTCTTTTAATATGAGCAATATATATATAACATTAGTATTTTAGTATGAGCAATATATATATATATATATATATATATA